AACTTTGTTTAAATTTTTTTATTATTCATCCTAAAGGTGCAGTGGCTTTTATTTTAACATGTTGCCCCGCCATCAGACAGGATCAAAGTCTCTTCTTGATTATCTATCTGGTTTTGTTAAACTAGGTTTCCCTTCTCTATCGACGCACAGATTGGAGCAGATATTAAGGTTTAATTATTAAACTCTAAGTATTAACTGCTAGAATGATTAGCTAAATAAAAACATATAAATAAAACCAATGGATTGGTTCCTTTTTGACAATAAACAGCATCTGCCAGGAGTTAATTCATGATGCCATTAGATATTTTTGAACAGCTTTTTTTATTTGTCACAGAATCAACTCATATCAGACTTCTGTTCATCTAAAGCCTCAAATCTGATTAACTAAAGCTAGATCTGAGTCACTAAGAAGTTACCTGCGCTGCGGCCATAGCAGTCAAACAGAGGAGTAAGCTGAGCCTCTTCATCTTCCTGTTGTTCTTCTTCTCTGTGAAGGTCCTGAATGTTTCCTCCGGCCCTGCAGTGGGATCTTTTGAACCCTCCTACAGCGCGTCAAACTTCCGACTAACCAGAAAACCTCAGTCAGGTCTGATTGGAATTGAGCAACAGCTCTGAGCAACACTGAGGGATGCGGCGGCTGTTTGCTGAACTTTGTGTTCCTGCACTGCAGCAGAGTAAACAGAGGGAACTCAAACATGCTGCTGGATTTACCGGCAGTTCAAACATTTTTGTCTGTAAACAGTGACAAACGTCTGACAGTAACTGTAACTATGAGTTTATTGACAAAATAATCAATTGCGAAAATAATATGGAGAGGAGCTGACACAATATTTGTTTAAAAAGGAATGATGATGACTCATAAATAGCATATAGACCAGGGGTAACCAAATCAAAATCAGCGGGGTCAACCAGTAAAGGTCAGGAGACATTTTTAATTATAATCTGTTACTTTAAACAGAATTTAACACTGAAATAAAAAGCAGGCTTTTATGCACTCATGTTATACATAAAAAATAAATCTGAGGTGTTTTTTGA